TCATGATCTTTGTGGACACTGTCTATATGTTTATTTGCAGAGACTTAATACAGTGCTTGTCATATAATAAAAGGTCAAATCATGCCAAATTAATAATGAACAAAGGTGTTATGTAAAGATAGTTCCCTGACACCAAATCACTAGCTCTGCAAGTCAATTATTGTTTTAAAAACTCCCTCCTCCACCCCCACTCTAAATACACATATACACACACTCCACTAATTGATATAATTTGAAACTATTTTTCACATATTTGCTTAATTAGCTTGCAGTGACCTCTGTAAAAACACTGGCCTCTGATGATTATAAGAGGTAGTTTTTGGCATGGACACCAAAGCATCAAAGAGTCAGCTAGAACTAAGGAAAGCAATGATACAACTGGTTTTAATTATTCATGACAAGCAACTGAATATGTCTGACAAAGGCCTTCTCCGCAATACATCACTCAAACAAGGCCAGTTACAGGAAATGGTGGAAGGAAAAGAAAAACAAGATGGAGCCAAAATGTGCCCGTAATACAAAGCAGATCATCTTTCACATGGATGACCTTATTCATTTTGTTTTATATTTTTATGATGGTCCCGAATCTATAAAATTGCTGATCCCTCAAAACTTTGCATACTTCTATGCTGGTGCTTTGGAGTGGTGGCTCTGGTTCTTGGAAGAGGAACTTGGTGAAAATTGCACCCATTCAAGAATCACTGTATAAGCCAAGGGGTCCTCCAAAGTTCATGTAGAATTGCAGGGGTGTTTGGAATTAATTCATCTGTGAAGTACAGGTGAGCACCTTCTATTTCTAGTCACCATTTACAAGAGGATTAACTTAATCTAAAATGTAGGTTTCAGACTTTTTGCTTAGTAGGAAATAGTTGAGGCTTAGGAGCTGCTTTGTTATGACCTACTCACAATTTTAATTTTATATCTCTGTAATCAAGTGCATCCACCACTCTGATCAAACTAAGAAATTTGGGCTGGCCACATTTTTTACTTGGCTCATTGAAAAAAAAGAGATTTCCTGGTTAGGCAGGATTTTACTTCAGGGCCTAATCCTCTTGCTATACACTCTTCCCAGCTGCTTGCTGAGCTCACTGCCTTCTTTTTCTAAGCACTTCCTGGTTCTTGCCAGCTTGCACTGTTGATCACTGCTTTGACAGGCTCAGTGTACCTCATTCCTACAGAACTTCAAAGCCTCAATTTTCCCTGCTGTTTTGCTCTAATTCCTGTTTGATGCCTCCAGACTCTAGATGACCCCCTGTATTTTTTCTGCTTTTAACATCACCTTTCTCTCTTTCAACAGTAGTTTTGACTACCTGCAATGTATCAGGTAGAGCCTGTGCTAGGGACTAAGAAAGGGACTGAGGACTTAACTATGAATGCTTCATCCAGGAGCTCAGAATATAAGAGAAGAAATGGCTAGTAAACATGCTATTGTAATGCCATAGGATATCAGTAACAGCTGCCCTCAGCTGAGTCAATTGCAACTCATGGTGATCCCGTGTGTGTCACAGTAGAAAGCTCCATAGGCGTTTCAGTGACAGATTTTTTGTAAGTAGATTTCCAAGACTTTCTTCCAAGGCATCTCTGGGTACACTTGAACCACCAACCTTCCAGTTAGCAATATTTTAATAATTTGCACTACTCAAGGACTCCAATGCCATGGGATAAGGGCTGAGATATGCTAAATAGAGGATATAAGGGTAGCACAATGTGGGGACCCACCACCAGGACTGAGGGAAGCTTTCCTGAAGTCAGTGACATCTAAGCATTCTGGCCAGACAAAACAGAATGAAAGATGTTCCAGGCTAAGGAAGTAACATCTATAAATACTCTGTGTCACAAATCATAACTCCTTTAGGGAACTACAAATATTTAAGTACAGCTACAGGGAGTGTAGTAAAAATGAAGCTAGAGAGGGAAGCCAGGGCTTTGCATGCCATGCTAAAGAGATCAGAATTCATCCCATAGGTGGTGGGGAGTCATTTAAGGTTTGTACAGTCAGATTTGTATTTTAGAAGGATTGGCATTGATGTGGAGAATAGGATTTAACCATTCAGCTATTTCTCCGGGGCTAGCGCATACTCTTGCCCGCCTTACCTTATCCTTCTGTGGCTCTGAGAGTCCAGCTCCACAACTTTTCCCTTTCAATGTCCTCAAACAAAACAAATTATAAGAATCCATTTGAGATGTTTTAAAAAAATACAAAATATCTGATCACACCCATAGATTCAGACTCTTATGGGAATGGAGCCAGGGAATCTCTATTTTATAACAGTTCTTCAAATGATCCTGAGACAGTAGCACTGTGGACCGATACCTGAATTATTGGAAGCTGTCGCTTGCCCTACTAGCTTCTGGATGTGTTGATAAACATCAGCAGTGTTTTGGCTTACTAAATTAGACTTAGGATGATGGCAAGACTAAACCTCACTCAACAGTCTATATGAATTTAATCCCAGGGGAAAAAAAATTGTCTCTCATTTGCACCCTTCAAGAACTTCCTCCTTGTTCTCTGAATAATATGTCCAAACCTCAACATGACTTGGCTGCATGATCTGGCTCTAATGTCTGATTGCCTCTCCTCTCAAGCTATTCTTTCCTTCACCTTGTACCTGTACTATTTTCTCAGTAAAATTAAGGATAGATGGGGAGTTAGGAGTTCTGGTAGTGGAGTGGTTAAGATATTTGGCTGGTAACCAAGATCGCTGGCATCTCAAACCCACCAGCTGCTCGCAGGAGAAAGATGAGGCAGTCTGCTTCTATAAAGATTTACAGCGTTGGAAACCCTATGGAATAGTTTTACTCTGTCCCATAGGGTTGCTATGAGTCAGAATCAACTCAGTGGCAATGGGTTTGGTTTGGGTTGGTATAAAAAAGAAAATTTCTAGGATAAGCCTAAAAAGAAGATTCCATCAATTTGCCCCATGACTCACAGATAGTTAAAGCAAAAATGCAATTGTTTTGACATATTTGGCTGTTCACCAGTTTGATTTAGTTCTGGTTTTTGGCTTGCTTGTCAATGGTTCTAAGCACATTCTGTTATGTTTCCCTGGGGGGTGGGGAAAAAACACTGCCATCATGCTGATTGCAACTCATAATGACCATATAGGACAGGGTAGAACTGCCCCATATGGTTTTCAAGGCTATAAATCTTTATGGAAGTAGACAGCCATGTCTTTCTCACACAAAGCAGCTGGTGGGTTTGTGCCACTGATCTGTTAGCAGCTGAGCACTTTAACCACTGCATCACCAGGGCCCTTTATGTTACCTTAGAAGATGGTAAGTAACATATGATTGCTGGAAGGTGCTAGGGCCAGGGTGGGTGTGCTGGGTATAATTTTTCAGCACACTAAATGAAACATGAAGACTAAAGTGCACTTGACCCAAGCCATAGTATTTTCCATTGCCTTATATCTATGGGAAAGCTGGACAATGAATAGGGAAACCACAGAAGAACTGATGCAGTTGAATTACGGTGTTGGTGAAGAATACTGAATATACCATGAACTGTCAGAAGAATGAACAAATTCATCTTGGAAGAAGTACAGCCAGAATGGTCCTTAGAAGTGAGAATGCCAAGACTTTGTCTCTTGTACTTTGGTCATGTTATCAAGAGGTACCAGTCCCTGGAGAAGGATAGCATGCTTGGTAAATTAGAGGGTCAGAGAAAAAGGGAAGACCCTCAACGAGATGGATTGACACAAGGGCTGCAATAATGGGCTCAAGTATAGCAAAAATTGTGAGGATGGTGCAGGACTGGGCAGTGTTTCGTTCTGTTGTACCCAGGGTTGCCATGATTCAGATTTGACTTGATAGCATCTAACAACAACAAAAAAGAAACTACCAAAGTTATGTCACAACGTTTTATGGTTGGTCTCTCCCTGAGTTAGAGTTATGACTTGAAAATTGATTTTTATATGGTATCCATGGAGAAGACTTTCTTTTCTTCAGTTGATTCTTTGCATTTCACAGAAGACTCTCTCTCTCTCTCTATATGTGTGTGTGTGTGTGTGTGTGTGTATATATGTATATATATATATATATATATATATGCATATATATATAAAAACACACATGTTCCTTAACATGAGGAAGTTGGAACATTTTAAAGACAGCAGCAATTATATTTAAACATACTGATAATAACAATTGAATTACATTTTTGTTGTTAAAAGATTTTAGATTACTTTTAATTAAACCAATGCCATAAATTAACCCAGCTAGTTCAATTTTCTGGTTTATCATTTCCTTTGCTACTTCTCTTCCACTGTACACTCATATTAATCAAGGAAACAGGAGCAGCAGCAATGAAGCAAGAAGTGTTAGAAGCCAATGACTAAAATTAGATTATTGATGACATTTACTTATATGTTCAAGGCTGAAATTTCAGGGGTACAACATTTTCTTCTGAAAGGAGACACTTCCCCATCATTGAAATGCAGACTTCTGTTATCAAATTACATCCATATTACATAATTGGGTAATGAAACTAACCCAAAATAGAAAGTGAAATCATCTACTTTTTCTGCCAAGATAAAGGCTAAAGACAAAATTAAGTAATGGACTTGTTTTTATAAGATTATTTAGACTAGTGCCCTCTTAATTAAGGAGATATTTTTATCCAAGAGAAGTGGTTGTCCCAAAGGTAGAGCTGATGTGAGGGCAAGGGAAAGGGGGTCGAGACTCTCCCCACCCATCCTAGACCACTGTCTAATGCAAATCTTCAGGATTCAAGGCAGTTTAGAATTTATAGACATTGCTCCCTTTTCTGTTTGTGTGCCATTTGTACAGTTTAGGTGTATTCAAACACTTAAAACATTTTTTTTTTCCCGATGTTTCACTCTCCTTTCAAAAAATCCACAGTGTGCAAGTACTTATATCACTAGTGAAAATTTGTACATACTACAGCATCAGTATGTACACTGTATTTCATCCCTTCTCCCCATCATCTCATAATTACAAAGTGCACGTTAAAGGAGAGCACCTCTGTCACAAAGCACCACTGCCCAGTCGAGCAGATCATTCCCAGTGCTGGTCAGGAGTGTCCATCACTGTGCAGAGCAAACATCCACACCGGAATGCACTGCTCTGGAAAACCCTCCTGCTTCTCCTTGCCCAGCACCACCAGCCCACTCTTCCTAATGAGGCTCTGCAGGATGTCCATGTCCCGAGTCACGCTGCTGTCAGAGAGATCGAAGATACAGCCCTCCCGCGCCACATTGTCCTTGAGTATGATGACTCCGTTTTCCTTCAGGCCATCTCGGCACCGGGAAAGAAATGCAAGAAGGTCCTTATCAGTTAGGTACCCTATATGTGGGGCCAAGTAGATGGAGGGACACAGTGAAATCGAGGGTAGAAAGGGAGGTGAGTAGGAAAGAACATGAGCTAAGAATCAGGGGAATCAGGAGACTATTCATTCACTCATCCATGAATCTTTTAAGAGCCTGAGTTGTTTTAGTTCCAGCATACTTTGAGAATTTAGAGACAGGAATACTTATCTTCTCTGAGTGAGCTGTCTCCTGTCTGTAAAATAGGTGTTATACTACCTGGACCACCTACCTCACAGGCTGGAGATTAAATTATTGCCCATCCCATGTCCCTTCCGTATCCCCAGAATACCCAACTCTATCATCACTCTTCTGTGTGTTCTACACCACACACATACACACACACAGACCAATATCTAATTCACTGCAGTCCCATTTCCATTAACACTTTTTGGCTCCGTTTTAAAATTTTTCAAGGATTTAGGTTTCATCTAGGATGTAAATTGATTCAAGGCACTCTTTCTCTAAAGGTAAAAATTGCTCAGCTTATACAAAGGATTTAGAGAAAGGAATCTGGAGGACCAGAGCTTTTTTAGAGTTTACATGATACTTAACGCTAACTACTCTAAGCACAACTGCATCTACATTCTCCTTTCTGTTCTCTCTCCCATTTCAGGGATCCTCAAATTAGTCCAGGCATTGTTTTCTCTAGGTGGGAAGGGAGAAGGGCAGATGCAATGCCACTAACCGGAGACCCACTGAATCCAGATGACATCGTATCTCCCAAATGGGGGTGTGAATTCCTGCAGGCTGTAGCAGTGGTAGCTTTCTACCTTGTCCGCTTTGACCTGCAGGTAGTTCTGGGCTTCGAGGAGGAAAGATTCCATCATGTCCACCAGTTCCACACAGTTGAAAACTGGCACCAAGACATGCTTGCTGACTCGACCAATCCCAGAGCCACAATCCAAGGCACAGTCTGTTCCAGCTTTCCCAGGACCCTGCAGAAAGGTACCTTGTGGAATACTTCAAGTACAGATACCCATTGCATCTTGACCATTGCGATTTACTTTTAAGTCAACTTTATTGAAGTCAATTTTCACACAATTAAATGTACCATCATCAGTGTACAATTCAGTGAATTTTGACAAACTTGAACATTCATGTTATGACAACTACAATCGAGGTGTAGAAGATTTAATTACTTTTTTCAAAATCATCATTTTCAACGTTACATTATTTCTCCAAATATAGATCTTTAAATAAAAATGAAAAAAAAAAATACACTTTTCCAAAGTAGTAAGTTTGAAAAGTTGGTAATTTTCTCCCACAAAAAATGGGCCATGAATAGCCCTATGAAGGCAGAACTTTGGTGAGTGTGCATTTGAGTTGAACCCATAGCTAAACAGACCTACTCTGCAGGTTATAACTCTGAAGAATAAAAAAGTAATGACTACCTTTCTGAATTTCAAAATTATCTTAAAATTCATTCAGTGGAAACATTTCAATACATATTGGATGACTAAAATTTCATTTTTTCAAAAACGGATTTTAGAGATGCTAAATGACCTACTCCTCTTATGTGGATGGTAAGTTTTAGAACCTGAGCTTAAGGGATGCTAACCGCCCCATTCTCAGGCCAAGATTTTATTTCAAATTCAGCCCTCAAGGCACATAGCACTTTCTTAGTGGGTAAAGGATGGTTCCAGCGAAGTCTCTATCCATGCTAAAAATTAATTTTTGCTTTTGTAACAGAAACAACTACATGATTTACTGAGCACAAAACTCTTAAAACTAATTTTTAAAGCAGATCTGTGCATTATATTAATGGTGGGAGGGCAGGGAGGATGTTACTCAGCCAATGCAAACTTTCTCAAACTTGCTCCTAAAAAGTAAAGAAAATACTTTCTGATTTATAAAGATTCAGCTGGTCTAAATTATTTGGTCATAATTGGGATAGCTGCTAAATGTGTTTCGTGATAGGAATTAAAGTAACGAGATACTTGAAGTTGCCAATCAAAGTCTTAAGGAGAAAACCTACTCTTGATTTCTCAGGAACTAGGGATTAGAACAAACATTTGGCTAAAGATTAAAGGTGAAGTATGAGCTGAGGGAAACATCAGAAAAGCTGCTTTCCAGTCCAGCTAATAGGACTTCTTTACAGCTAGAAAGGTAAAATGAAGAACAAAAAGTGAAGCATTGTAACTTCTTTAAAAGTAGAATAATAATCATGGCATGGTGCCTAAGGCATTTGACTGCTAACCAGAAGGCTGGCAGTTCAAACCCACCAGCCACTCCCCAGAAGGAAGGTTGGGTAATCTACTTCCGTAGTGATACTGCCTCGGAAACCCAAGAAGGGGTCGCTATGAGTCAGATCTGACTCCACGGTAGTGGTGGCATTGCTTTTTTTTTTTTTTTGCGTTATATGTGTTAAAGGAGCTCTGGTGGTGCACTGGTTAAAGCATACGACTGCTAACTGAAAGGTCAGCAGTTCAAACCCACCAGCCACTCTGCAGGACAAACATGAGATAGTCTGTTTTCATAAAGATTTACAGCCTTGGAAACCCAGTGGTGCTCACCATGAGTTGGAATTGACTTGATGAGTGGCTTTGGGTTTTCTTTGGTTTTATATGTACCAAAGTCTTTATAACTATAATAACTACACTAATCAAAACAACTCTTCAAGACAATGATTATTAACTCCATTTTGGAGGTAAGGAAACTCAGATTTCCTATATCATCCAGGTAATGACAGAACTAGGATTTGAACACAGGACTGTTTTAATCCAAAGCCAAGTCTACATTGGGGATGTCACCTCAAGTGAAACTTTGATTCACTGGCAATATATATCTAACGCTATACTGAAAGGCTTTATTCAGACTCTGCAGGAAAGAGGTCTATGATTGATGAGTTTCGTCTGCTTTGGGTAAGGAAATGGGAAGTGATGGTACACACACCATGTGCTTGTCATTCCTACTTACACTACTTACATCTTTATTCAAACATATAATTGAAACTAAACTAATTCAGAAGAAGGCATAGGCTAAAGGATTATGTTATGAAGTATAGATAGATAGATAGATAGATTATAGATAGATTCTAAGTAAATAAATTCCTAACATAAACAAGATTGAAAGAAAGTATAAGGAAGTTATTTTAAGCTACTAGAAATGACTTTGCTAGAAATGTGTGTGCTCAATTAGAGATTCTCACTGTCAATTTTTCTTACCATTTTACCTTTATCAATTCTGTTGAGTCATCTCCAACTTATGGTTACCCCACATATGTCAACATAGAACTGCGCTACATAGAGCTTTCCTTTTTATTTAACTTTTTTTCAAATCTTTTTTTTTAAATTTTATTTATTATGATGTTGAGAACATACACAGCAAAACATACACCAATTCAACAGTTTCCACAAGTACAATTTAGTGACATTGATTACATTCTTCAAATTATGCAAACATTCTCACCCTCCTTTTCTCAGTTGTTCTTCCCCCATCAACATACATTCATAGCTCCCTAAGCTTCCTATCTAATCTTTTGAGTTGCTCTTATCAATTTGATCTCATATAGATAGTTCTCAAAAGAGCATACTGCTCAAGGCAGTCATTTTTTACCAGTTAAGCCAAAGTATTGTTTGGTTTTAAGAAGACTTCAGGGATTATTTTTGGTTTACAGTTTGTGATAGTTGGAGCTGTGTGTAAATTATTTTAGAGGTTTCAGGAATTTATCCAAACTTCAAAGCTCTAGGAAGTCTGGAGTCCAGGACAACTTGAAATTCTGTTCTGCATTTTCCTCCTTTTGATCAAGATTCTTCTATAGAATCTGATCAAAATGTTCAGTAATAGTAGCCAGGCACCATTTAGTTCTTCTAGTCTCATAGCAAAGGAAACAATTGTTCGTGGAGGCAATTAGCCATACATCTACATACGGCTTTCAAGGACTGATTTTTCAGAAGTAGAACGCCAGGCCTTTTTTCTAAGCTGTCTCTAGGTAGAATCCAACTTCCAACTTTCTGGTTAGAACCCAAGCAATTTAACCATTTGCCTCACCCTGGGACTCCTTTCTTATCTTTGCTTTGCCCAAAAAGCCTCAATAGGGTGCGTTGCTCTCATTGTTTGTAGCAAGTGGTCTTAGAAGTAGAATTATGGAAGAACAAAGCAAGGAAATCTACAACAGAGGATTTCAAGAAGGTTATAACAGCTAAGGTTGCTCTGGTAGCATAGTGCCTAAGAGACTTGACTGCTAACCAGGAGGCTGGTGGTTCAAACCCACCAGCCACTCCTCAGAAGGAAGGTTGGGCAATCTACTTCAGTAATGATACTGCCTCGGAAACCCAAGGAGGGGTCGCTATGAGTAGGGTCCACTGGGCACATAACAATAACAATAACAGCTAAACTCCTTCTTCTCAATAAACACATAAGTGTGAAGTTGCTCTGGTTAAAATAAGGCAAGGCTTCACCCACTCAGCCTTCCCGTCTTTCTCTAAGAAGCCCTTGAGCAAAACTCTAGAGAATCACAAACCAAAGTTTTAAACAACTGAAGTCTAATTCTTCTGCCTTTTAGATAAGGAAATAGAAATCCCTTGAAAATTCTATTCCTCTGATTTGTACTCTTCACTAATTTAGATATGTGATATTTGACTACAGATATTTTTGAAACAATGATTGTTTACAAATACCAAAGGTGCCTCAAACCCTGTGACCCTCTAACTTCTCCCACTAGGGCCTTGTTCCTTCACTCCATTTCACTCTATGTGGTTGGCACTGCCTTCCATCTTCTGGCACCAAAGTTCTTTCTCTGTCTCTCATTCACATGCAGCTACTCTGAGAAGGGATATTTAAAAACTGATCTCAATGACACCATCTTCTGTCCCATGGACACCATGGTTGTGATTGTATTGAAATCTGATGCCCTTCCATGAATGTGACCAGATTACATACAATGTGTGATTTTAAAAAATAAATGTTTTTTTTCATTTTCATTTATTATGTTATTTTCTTACATATTGATTCATGTATAAGAGTTGAAAGACTCTTAGGAATTTCATTTCAGTTTTTACTCTGTATATTGGGGAGCTCTGGTAGCATAGTGGCTAAGGCACTTGACTGCTAACCAGATGGCTGGTGGTTCAAACCCACCAGCCACTCCTCGGAAGGAAGATGGAACAATGATACTGCCTCGGAAACCCAAGGAGGGGTTGCTATGAGTCGGGTCCGAATCGACGGCACATAACAACAACAACAACAACATATATATTTTGTTTTAAAGAACATTATTTTAAGTTCTTCCAGTGGAGTTTAAAACCAAAATGAAAGTGGTTCATGACATTGTATGAAAATCATGGAATGTAGTAAGTTAGACTCAGAATTTTTTAATCATTCAGTCTCTGAAGAATGTCAAAAAATTAATACCATCAAATACTGATGAGTTTGTATAAATTTCCACTGTTGCTATTAGTTGCCATCAAGTCTATTCTGACTCACAGCAACTCCACATGTGCAGAGTAGAACTGGTCCATACAGTTTTCAAAGCTGTGATCTTTCAGAAGCTGATAGCCAAGCCTGTCTTCAGAGGCATCTCTTGGTGGGATTGAACCACCCAACTTTTGGTTAGTAGTCAGTCGAATGCTTAACTGTGCATACCACTCAAGGACTTCCTCTCCCCAGTGAGAAAGATGAAATTGAGAAGTTATTAGGTATGCCACTGACATCATCTTGGTACCATTCATTTCTTTGTTAAAGTAAACACATCTGCAACAAGTTTAAACACTTTCCCATTGTCCCATGTCACTAAGTGTTGAAAGGAAAGCAAATGTTTAAATTAAACAATCTACCTTTTTCCAGTTGACACAAGAATAAATCACATGAGATATTCCCTATTCCCTAACTCCTTGTACATTGACCTGGATACTAATTCAGCAAGTTATTAAGGCCAAAGTACCAAAATATCATTACTTAAAAAAGACTGTGTTTGGACTTATTTAGAGGTCACAGCTTCACAATGAGCCTTGCCTACTAAGAAGGGCTCCTTGTATTTGTTTGAAAAGAGCACGCTGCCTCTTTTCCAACATAAATATGCAAGCACAAGGCTGTTTCCTTTCCCAAGTCTGTGGGCATGCATATGGGCTCTATCTGACCAGCATCTCTGTGGTCAGTTTGGCATTCCACAAGGAGTGACAAGACAGTTGGATTACTAACTAAGCTTCTGAAATGCTATGGGATCAAAGTCAGCCTTACCACAAGGCAAGCCAGAGGGACTGCTCTGGGCCAGACTGGAGGAGAATTGAAGTTTATGGTCCATCCCCTACCCCCAAAAAAGGAGGGATTTTTCTGCTACATGAGACAAATGGAAAAAATAAGTAGTAGTTAACAGCAGGGAGTGTGGTGTCAGACAGAACTGGTTGGACTGAGTCCCAGCTCTGTGTCTTACCAGCTATGTGACATTGACAACATGTGTACCTCTTCAAGCCTCAGTTTCCACAACTGTAAAAACAAGGCTAATAATAATACTTGCCTCCCAGTATCACTGTGAAAAATAAACAAACAAATGTTTCTAAAGTGTTTAGCAAAGTGACTGGCCATCTCAGGATAAGCAATCAGTGAATTCAGTCAGTAACACTGACTTAGAAATAATCAAGATAAACTTGACCTCTACATACAAATAGCCATGGCCTTCATCTCCAGACTCCAAAGTGCTTCATGGCTGCAGCTGATGTCCAGACACTTCTGCTTCGGTGGGTGCCCTATCTGATCCCATCTTCTCCACCTCCAGGCTCTGGACTCAGAGGTACATGGCACACAAAGGCAGTTGGCTGTGAAGTGGATCTCAGCCCCACACTAGATATACTCTTAATATTATACTCCTAACTAGGTTGTCAGCCTAGCCTGAAGGCCTAAAACATTCCCAAATAATGTATCCATTGTCAGATTAAAATGGGCTCTAAATTCCAAGCAAATGAATTGGAACAAATCCTGTTTGCCAATTAGGACTTTATATCTTCAGTAGACCAAGTATAGCTTTATTGTGTGTGTTGAGACTATTTTAACAACTAAATGAAGTGCTTCAAAATATACTGGATATGTTATATTAAAGCCTGTCATTACTACTGGTGGCACTAAATTAGATTTTTTTGGCCTGGGCTTGACCATATTATCTTATTTGATCCTCATATTAGTCTACGAAGTAGGCTCCATTGTTATGCTCTAGGTCTCAGTTTTCTCACCTGTGACTAGAGAATAAAAATACAGTCCACATCAATAGAATAGTATGAGGATCATGGCCAAGGTTGCTCAGACATTAAGCAAAGGAATTTTAGAGCTCAAGTTTTGGCCTCTATACTATACTTTCTTTGTCTACATAGCATGAAAGTTAAAAAAAAAAAAAAAAAAAGTAGTTCTCCTAGCTACAAAGGGATCATATTCTTCTTAAATCCCTTTTAGATCAGGCAAATTCTGAATTATGTACACAATTATATAAAGGGATCACACTCTACTTATTTTAAAACCAAATACAACATGCATTTCCTTACTATACTAATTTTCATTGCAAAGAATCAATAAACAACCTCAAAATCACAAATAGCATGATCCTCCATCAGTCATCTGGGTGTCAACTGTTCATCTGTGAGACTCTAAAGTAAATGCCTTCTCAATTCCCAAAATGCAATATCAGTACTGCTAGTGAGTGTGAGATAGTTGGTGGTAAGAAGGCAAAATACCAAGAGGGATAAATCAATAGTGACCTATCCTTTCTCAATATCTTAGAGCAGGCTTTCAGGCTATTTTCTTGGTTGAGCCATACTTTAAGTTGACTTAAGTGACAATAACATAGAAATATGTGAATTCAATGTTTGCAAGGATTTTGTCTCCTCATCAAGCTGCAGTTGGATAACTTACCCCAATAAATTTCCTAAGAAATTTCTGAGAGGCCTGGAGATCTGGGTTGGAGAGTTCAATAAAATTTCCCATCATACCCTCTTCTGTGGCTGGTACGTCTTGGTAGAAAAGTTTAGCTCTGGCGTAGAACTGCATCTCACCATTGATAACTTGGCTTGTCAAAGCATACAATTTCACTGCAAATGAAATATTATTAACATTCATTAATATTCATATAACAGAACAAGCTCAATCTTACCAGGCATCAAATTTCCTCCTAGAAGTCCACACATCTGTGTGGTGGAGGAAAGGGTACTGGGTTTGAAATCAGAACTTACTTGCTATGTGATCTTGGGATAACTTCTTAACTCCTTTGGTCTTCAAGGATCACATCTATAAATCACAATCATGTGACATGTCCTCCATTTAATAGCTTAGTTTATCACTTTATAATACAAAGTTTAATAATGTTTGTTATAGTACAATAAAGAATATAGTTTTCATGATGAATTTTATCTTTGAGCTTCAAATATTTTGAGCGTTTTATCATTAATACTTATTTCTAATCAAAAGGTAGATATTTTTTCCTCAATACATGCACACTCAAATATCTCTTTGTACTATCTTTACAAAAAGGCACTTGAGCTCTGTCTTCTGAAAATAAAATAATAAAAAGCATTATGGATTGAATTATGTCTTCTCAAAATATGTGCTGGAATCCTAACCTATAGAACTGTAGATGTAATCCTGTTTGGAAACAGAGTTTTCTTATTATATTAATGAGACCATATCAGTGCAGGGTATGTCCTAAACCTAATCACTTCTGAATTAAAAAAGAGCATATTAGATCCAGATGGGACCGACCGGCTCCTGTAAAGATTCAGCCAAGGAAACCCTATGCGGAAGTTCTGCTCTGTTCTATAACATCACTATGACTTAGAATAGAATTAATGGTACACAACAACAACGAGACAAAGAGATACAATATTTATTAAGCAGCTATTCTGTACTAGGTAGTGTACTAGGTACATTCACATACAGTATGCCATTTCATTATTTTAGAAACCCAATGGCACACTGTTTCAAGACATATCTTTCTAGCAAAACTTGTGTTCCAAGTTCTAAGAGGTAAATAAGAATGCATTTAAATGTGTTTTGTAAACCAAAATGTACCATTCATATACAAATATTTTCATTAGAGAACATTTAGGAGGAAAGAAAGGAAGTGAGTGAAAGGAAGGATCATCTGTTTAAAGATCAGAGACTGAGCACATGCATTTGTTTTCCCTTCTTCCCTGAAAAGTATCATAATAAACTAAATGTGTGACAGCAAAAAACATAAGAGGAGATTGCTAGTGGATTTGAGATTTCAACAAATTTCTGGAAGACAGAAAGGAGCATTTGGACAAAACTGAAGAAGCTACATCTTAGAATAGTTATAGGAAGAAGGTACATTCCAAACATAGAGCCAACAGGGAAAAAGTGTAGGAATGAGAATGGGAGCTGAAAAACTAAGATAGTTAATCAAAAGCCTGTCTACAGAATAAACAGATAAAGGTAAATTACTACTGTTGGATAGCAACAGTAGTAATCTTAGGTGGGAGCAAGGAGGAGCCTCCTTTCTCAAAAAAAATAACAAATTGCCTGGGGGAGAACTATACAAGGGTGAATATTGGGATGTCAGAACACTACTGATTCTGTCAAATAGAAGACTCCAAGCTCCTCAACTGCCCATGCTCATCAGAGTCTGGTAAGGTCTACCTGCATATGTGGATTTTATTGTCATTCTTTTTACTCGGAGGAAAGGTGTATAACAGAGGAAACCTTCTCCGGTTACCTAGAATCATTGACCCTGTTTATTCCTTAATATGAACAATTATATTCAAATACATAAGGAGAAAGTAGCAGCTTGAAAGAAAAAAAAAATTGAAATAATAAAACAGATCAGACTTAGTGGTTGGATAGAGACTGGTGGTACACCCAAGACTATAGCCCTTGGTCACCTTTTGGACCTGGAACTGAATTCACTCCTATAGTTCAAATAATATACAGGTCTACAAGGTGGACAATAACTCTAGAAAGGCACACACTCCTTAGAACAATCAACCATTAGAGATCCAAAGGGCAGGATTTTCCCAAGGACAAAGTTCTGAGGGCAGGAATGGTTAGGAGAAAAGTTGGAATGGAAATTAGAAACACAGGAAGTGGGAGAAGTAATGTTACATTGAGGGGATTCCAATCAAATGACATGGAACAAAATGTGTGTGAATTGTTGAAAGGAAAACTGATGTACTCTGTATACTTTCGCCCAATTCACAATACAGTTTGAAAAAAAAAAAAAAAGGAAAAGGAAAAATTTGAGATGAACACTCAGAACTAAATCTTAAGGAAACAGAAATCATTTAGAAAATGGATGAAAATTTAAAACAAAACAAGCAACTCTTATATAGCCTTTAGAGGGGTACAAGAAATAGTGCATTCATAAATCAAAAGCAAGATATTGAGAAAAATAATTCAAAAAATAATAAAGAATTATTAGAAATTAAACATATGATTACCAAAAATTGTAGAACATAAATTTGAGTAAATTTACCAAAATATAAAATAAAAAAAGATATGGAAAATAAAAGGATTAGAACTTTAAAGTCTTAATCCAAGAAGTTCAACATTAAGCTAATCAAAGGATGCAAAGAAGGAGAGAGACAAGGAAATGAGAAAATGGAGGGAAGAAAATTATTAAATAAACACCCCAAAACCAAACCCACTGCTGTTGAGTCTATTTCGACTCATAGGACCCCCCTTTGGGTTTCCGAAGTGGTAAATCTTTACGGAATTAGATTGCTCCATCTTACTTCTGCGGCTGATGGGTTTGAACCACCAACCTTCTGGTTAGTGGTCTGATGCCTTAGGCACTGTGCCACCAAATCTCCTTTTTAAATAAATAATGGAAGAAAATTTCTCAGAGCTGAAAAGGAATTATAAATTCCAACAACTGTTGCACACCAGGAATCTTTTTTTTTTTTAAAAAAAAAAAAAAGCCCTATTTACACATACCCTTAGGAAATTTCAAAACACAAAAAATAATGAGAAGATTTTGAAGTCCTTTAGAGGAGGGGGAAAAAGTGTTTAACCTTTTTAGTATGAGTATTATTGTATATTTGAGAACATAGTTATACTAACATTTTATTCACTGTTTATGTGAAATTCAAATGTATTTGAGCATTCGGTATTTTATCTGGTAACCCTGTCTTCAAAGGACTAAAATTAGGCTAATAGGACAAATCTCATCAAGAACATTAGAAAATAATGATAGTGCCTTCAACATTCTGAGGGAAGACTATTTTAAATCTAAAATTCAGTGCCCAAGAAAAATGTCAATCTAAGTTTAATGATAAAATAATATTTTCAAATAAGAAAGGATTTAGAATATTCACCTCCCATGGATTCATTTTTTCATAAGTATCTTGAAGCTATATTCCAGTCCAGTAAGAGTTAAAATCAGGAGAACATGAAAGATCATGAAAGGAACCCAGGAATTCAATGAGGATGACAATTATTTATCAGATCTTGAAAGAAATCAGTTTTTACTACAACAGAAGACATAGGCTTCAAAAACTATCTCAAGAAGTAGAATGAAAGGGATTCCAGGCAATAGAGTAGATAAAAAGCAAGACATTATTAGTGATACTCTAAAGAAGATATTTTTTTAATGATTTTTATGTCAACCACCAAAAACAAAAGATAATTAAAAGCTCAGGAAAAACAAAAAATGGTACAAAAATAATAACAGAAAATGAAGCAAATCAAAACATGATATAATTCTCAGTAGAAGGAATATAAGGAAGAAAATCCATTTAACTCTAACTATGAGAGTTTTATTTTTAGGTAGCACTGAGACTGTGACCTTAGACAAGTGTACTACTTGGCTCTGAAATGAACACAATTCCTTTGTCCCAAAATTTTATTCTAAAAGTTAAGAATCCAATGAGCACCACTTACATTATTATAACTATATTCCATCTATGGAGTTATGTTAGCATTTTCCAACTTGCAGACCTTGGAGCCAGTGTTTTGACCCTGCAGAATCATGAATTTGCTGAAAAGGAGACATGAATCAGTTTCCATGTACATCATTTTCGGGAGTCTCTGGTAGCATAGTGGCTAAGACACTTGCCTGCTAACCAGATGGCTGGCGGTTCAAAACCACCAGCCACTCCTCGGAAGGAAGGTTGGGCAATCCTACTTCCGTAGTGATACTGCCTCGGAAACCCAAGGAGGGGTCGCTATGAGTCGGGTTTGACTCGATGGCAAACAACAACAACAACAATATTATATGCTGTATCTTCCATAGGTATTAACCATTATACATATACTGTTAATAAAAATACAAATTTTAAAGTATTGCTAAGTATTCTGAAGTCTTTTGCCACTTTATGTACAAATTACCTACTGGTTGAGAAAATACAGCATTAAAAGGAAGGTCCTCATGTTCAAAAACTTTGACAATCACTGATCTACACCAATTCCTTTTCCTAGCACTTGGTAAAGTGTTGTGTCACAGCATGTGGTTCAATAAATGCTTATAAATTCTACAGGGGATGGCAAATATCACGCATCACTATCCCAAGAACATGACTAGTCTAAATTCTTCTGGATGCCTCAGAAAACCAGACTAGGAAATCACAGCCTTCCCAGCAGTTGAATGCTACTCTGAGCTCACTGGTAAGCCACAACCCAGTACTTTCCTTGATCCAACCAAAGCAGCAAAGCAGCCACACTCATCATCACCTTCTTAAGTCAACTAGTTGGTGGAGTCTATTAAAACCCTTAATCTGGAAATGGGAATGGTACATTATGCCAGCAACATTTAGACCACAAGTGAACGGTAAGCTCAGCAGGAGTTGGACTCAATAGGTGGGTTTTTATGGTTATGGGCTTGAGTTCTCATTTTCACCTAATTGACAGGAACATTTCACTAAAAAAGATATATGAGGTGTCATGGCCAGCCCCAGGTTCTCCTCTCCTGATAGCTCGTGCTATGGTGCACGTCTGTGCCTTTTTACTGTGAAATATATCTGATGGCTTGTTCGTGTAGGACTGTAAGATCTCTGTGAAACAGAGACTAGATGCTCTACTAATTTTTGATATAATACAGTACTTATTTCTTGACCTACACTATGAACTGAACTCTCAAGGA